GGATGACGAAGAGGATGTGAGAGGGTAGAGCAGCACAGGATATTTCTATACATCTGTGTGTCTGTCTGTCTGTGCGAATATTTGCATAATGAGTCTGTATGTGTGTGTGCCTGTGTGTGCGCGCTTGGGCGTGTCTTATTCTGTTTGTTTTTTATTTGTGTAAATCAAGCGTACATTGAGTGTCTCTAACACTCCTCTTTCTCATTGTGCAGTATGAGGAATGCCAGTGGGCTGACTGCTGCTGACCTGGCCCACGCTCAGGGATTCCAGGAGTGCGCTGAGATTCTCTCCAATGCCCAGAACTTCCAACAAAACATGGCTCAGTCCCATAACGGAGCTTTTCTGAATGGCATGACCCAGAATGGGGGCCTCGCTCGCCCCACTATCCAGGGACGCAGCTTCTTGAATGGCGTGCCCAACAGAAAGAGGTCATTCGATGGCATGGAGGCAAACCCAGTGAAGAAGGCTCGGCCTAACGGTAGGTCACTCAGCTCATTAAATGTGTTTTAGTTAGTTTTAAATTTACATTTTTCCAGGTTTCTTTGAAAGGAAAAACAGCATCAGTCTATTCCAGCTGGAACATCTATTATTAGCTTAGACTGCTGCATATGCAGACAGGCTGGACAGAATTACCAAACATGGCGGCTTAAGACAAATACACAGCATTTTGAGGCATATACAGGACTTATTTATGTGGGATCTGTGTGTATATCTCTTCATATAACAAGGGTAGACTGACTACATGTACCACTAATTTGTTACATCGTAAAGAATATCATTATCGCAAAAATACCCTGAAATATCATGAGATTAATCAAGACTAATCAAAACATCTGTTTACAAACTCTCACACAACTGGTGCAGTATAATCCAAGTCTCAGAGTCTGAAAAGTAAAACTTATCTGTGCTCTCATCAAAGCCAGACTTCAATACTAAGATAATTTAGCAAAAATGGATGTATTTTGGGAAGTACAGATCATACACCTGAATAAATGAGACCAGAGTAACAGGTAACATGATTAATAGATTTATAAATGGTCATTTTATGGGTGACATATCCCTTTTTAAGAAAGGGATTTTTGGAAATGTGGAGCGTTGACTGTCAAAAGTTAACATTTTGTTACAAATATTTCAGCAGGGGAGATTTTTATTTTTTAATGTGAAATGTGGAAATATAGATGCAGAAAAAATCAAGTTTGGTGTTGAATTTCTAATTTCATAGTCTTCAGATAGATGCAGAAAAAGTAAAAAGATTAATCTGAGGCCTTACATCATGAACTTAATATTAAATTCTTCTCAAATATCAATCCTCGCTTTATATCTGCATGCATCTCACTCTCATAGGTCTGGGCATGCCACCAGAATTGCTGAATGGGAATGGGCCACTGGGTGGCGCTGGAGAGGCCCAGATGGAAAGCATGACCATGGAGTTGGCAGCGACTGTAACCTCAGGTGGGCCAGGACCCTTTGCATTTGGGCTGAATGGGTTTGCACCACCACAAGGGCCAGGGCCCATGGATCAGTGTGAGGACCAGGGGGCACAGCACAGGTCGAGCCCTGCGACTAAAGAGCTGGAGGTCATCACTGTGGCATCAATGCAGACACCTTGTCGCTGCACCAACTCTTATGCCTACCTGTAGAGGGCTTGTGTGTGTAGGCACATGTTAATGTTCCCTTTTGTGCAGTATATCTTTTTGGTATGGTCTGGCTGTTTTGTTTGCATAACACATGCATAAAGGAATACATTTGTGTTGATCTGGTGGTAAGCTACGTTTGAAAGATGTATAGCAGTTTGTGTGCCGTATTTTCTACTTTTCCATGTACCTAATTATACTCGGATGGATAAAAGCATAGAGTTCTCTGTTATACAGTTATTATTTAATGCATCCGTCCAGTTATACAGACAATTGTTGTGTAATTCTTTATTCTTTAGGGTTATAAAAATTAGGATGAGTTTTGTTTTGCACAATTATACAGCAACATCCCAGATAATGCAAACTTATTAGCATACCCCCAACACAGTGGGTTCATCAGTATCAACTTAGGTCACATTGGTTCACTGGAAAAAAGGAAGAAGTGTGTCAAATCGGTTATTATAGCTTGTCAAATTATGCATTGTTGCATAACTGGAAAAAGTTCCATACAGTACATGAAAAGTAATATCTAAATGGTGATTGGGTGGTTTTCTTTAATATGCCCCCCCCCCCAATGATTTTTTTTAAATTTAATTGAGTATACTTTCATATTAAGTATTGCTCGATTGATGATGACATTTATATAAAAATAATGAGTGCCTAAGCACTCTTTAATAAACAGAGGAAACGTCTCCTGATGCTGACTGCTACCACACATTAGCTAAAAGCTGTTTTGTATTCAGGATATTACTGTATGCCAAAGCATATCCCAACAAGAATGTAGCTCATAAAGTATAAACGATTCACTGTGCAGCTTATTTTGTAGTTTGTAGATGTCCTATACTAAGACATAGTGGGCCATGGGCTTGGAGTTTGGTTATTCCTCTTTTCCTTTCTGTTCCTTTGGGCTGCGTGCTTGTTTGATTCTAAAGTATGGTGAATGTTCACTGTTAGTTTTTTAGGCAACTAGCAGGGCTTGCACATGTGTATGTTCTATGATAATCCCCCGTCTGAAGTTGATAATTGGCCGTTTTACAATCAGTAGTTATGAATAAACAGTACCGCTCAAGAAAGTTTGCATGGATTCACAAAAAGCCTTATTTCTTGAGCTGTATTGAATCGTTGAATAACTTTATGTACATTATTTTCAATTTTTTATAGATACTGAGAAGGGAAATTCTTCCTGTTTTTTTTTTTTTTTTGTAGTACTATTTCATGTTACAGGTGGTTTCTGTTTAATGTTTAAGTGTACAGACATTCAGTTTGGAACATCCAATGCTTAGTACTGAGCAGGTTTAGCTTTGTACTTGATTGTGTGAAATCATTAAATGTTGATTCATTTTATAAATGTGACTGTGGTGGACTTTTGTTTTCTTGATGTATTCCCATGCATCTGTCAAGTCCTGTGCCATTGGCATTTCTGCAGGCCTGCGATCTGTGAAAAAAGTGGAATTATTTTCAGGTTAATGCAAAGTAAGGCATTTAAACATGAAACTAATTTCACCAGACTGAACTGTTGTAATTTAAATGACATCTGCCGGTTATGTTGGATGTTGGATTATGGCATACCAACATGTCTGGAAGATTTAAGGTTTCCTTGGCTTGACGCAGTAGCTTAAGTACCACTGTGCAGGCAGAACTAGGTCACTGTGTCATACAGCAGTAACTGTATGTCAGATCAACTCCAGATCAGGATGTGACCTATATAAAACAGCAGGTCAAAACGTGGGTTTGCATAAGGCTCTGGAATGTACTTTGCAATTACTGATCAACTTTTTTTGAGGGTTGTCCAAAAAAAATCCCAGTGTGTTGAAATACAGTCACATAACCACTTTGTAACTTCTCTAGTTGGCTGCTCACACAAGGTCCCTTTTAATAGTTGTGCAAAACAAAATCAATCCAGTGTTTTTTGTTCCCCCTGCCTCTCATGGTATTTACAGAAGCAGGAATATAGTCACTAATTCTATATGAATATATGCCCTTTTGACCATTTGTCTCGTTTTCAGCGGCAGGTGAGAAACACTGTGAGGCTTTTTCCTCAAATGGTCACAATCAACCACAGCTTCCATTTGGGTGTGACCCCGTCGCAGATGTCCTCCACGGCCAACTCACCCACAGTGACTCATCTGACAACAACAGCACTGCAGGCAGCCAGGTGGAGCACCAGAAGTCTGTGAAAGCAGAGCAGTTGTACGATCATGCCTTCTTCACCACCATGCTGCTTTACCATGGATCTTAAAGTATGAAAGATCGAGTTTGATGGGCCGTCCTTTTTGCCTGAATGTCATATAAGCCTAAACAAGCATTCATTTGCCTTAAAGCCATTGAGTGGTCCTGTTATTCATTGATTTTTGTTATTTCTTTTTAATTTGGAAAGGGCAGGCCCAGTTTGTGGATGGACTTAAATGCTTATCTAACTGATTGTTGGTTAAAACGTGGATTTTTTTTTTGTTGTGTTAAAGAGAAAGTGTTTGTTTAGCCTATTATTAAAGTTTGATTAAGCTGTAAATACCCTTGTTCTGATATACAGTACACTAAACTAGGCATTTGTATTGAACCACTGCCAGTACTTTGTTTCTGTCTCAACTAGAAGTGGGGTGATCCCTTTTTCTTGATGTTAATAAAAACAATGCAAGTTACTCATTAATTAAAAAAAAGTTTTGTTAAAGTTAAAGTTTGATTCAGTCTGTTTTTAAACCTCTTTACAGTGCAACTTGTGAAATAAATCCTCATCCTGGCAAAGATGCCATGTTAGCCAATAATAAATGATCTGCTTAGTTAATTGTGGTAGTTTAGATATCTTTAAACCTTGACACTTTGTCAAATATTTCTTTTATTGGGGCCCAGTTGGTCCAGTTTTTGTCGGTCTAAATATAAATTTATAACCCAACTATATCTATCAAAGTGTTGGTTTTATCTATAAAGCTGCTCAAAATGAAGCAGACGGGTCTACCCCAGTCTACATTATATACTTATATATTTATATACTCATAAATTCTATGGTCTGGTCTCATGCACAGGCACGACTTCAGTGGTGTGCCTTGCCAACAGTCACCTGTCAGTGGGGGCGACCTTCGTCATAGTTGCGCTGCACAAACATCACGTCACTGTGACCACGCCCCGTGACAAACGACGCCCTCGATGAAAATGGGGGAGTGAAATAATTACTTTTAAATGAAACAACGAAATAGATAAATGTATCTTGCCGGTATCTAGCACAATGTGTTTTTATAAACATATTTTCATGATGGAACCGGAAGTTCGTACTGATTTTCCACTGCCATAAAATTCTGGTAAATTTAGCACTCGACACTGTTCCCTCCTCTTTCCGTGACGTGGTATCGTCCAGTAGACCTAGCTGGTCCTGCCAGAAAGTCAGCATCATCGAGAGAACGACGGAAAGCGTCGAGCAGCTGTGAACGGGGTCACTGTGAAGGTGTCAAATAACCATTAAATACAATACAGCGTTTTGATAAAATAAACTCCCGTAGACGTATCAGTGTCGTCGGTACGTGTTTCAAAAGTTAAACCATGTCAACCCCGGCTAGAAGAAGACTTATGAGAGATTTTAAACGGTAAGTTGATGGTCAGAAATTATCCCGATGCCGATAATCATAGTTAGCTATGATTTGTCGAAAACAGCTAACATTAGCCTAGCTTACATTAGCTTGGCATAGCTAACCGGAACGCTTTTTCTTTCATTTAAACCTATTAATCACCAATTTAAATAGTAAACTATGAACGTAACGCAAACGCTATCTTATTAGGTTTTTACGAACCAGAAACATTAAAGTGAAATAGTGTTATTTTGTTGAAGCGCTTCGTCCGTAGCTAGATGCTAACTGAGCTAGCTGATACATGTTAGCATTCTAGTCGGTTAACGTCAGAGTTCCTGTCACAGTTTACGGCTACTGGCTAACTCCATCAATTAGCTAGCATTTAAATATCCGTGGCCGGTTGGCCATTTTATCCCTGGTCAAAACACATATAATGCAACGCATTAAACGTAAGTGTTCCGTTAATATAAGCCTGTCGTTTCTCTTTTCCTGGCATTAGACTGTGTAACTTGACGTAGCCAACCAACATCAGCAGTGTTAAAATCATACAGTAACTACACCGGTAAAATAGTTAATCAAAGTTTGGTGTTAGGGAAGTTATCATGGGAAGACTTATTTTGAAGATGTGGCACTATAAAGTAGTATACTGAATTCTCAAAGGAATATATCGCGATAAACATTAAGCCATAGCTGAAGCCAAAAAACTATCAGTGTCCTCAAACATAGCTTTTGGTCATGATAAGTGTTTCTTAGTACGTCATTAATACCTTTCACAAGCTTCTGTAGTCCAGTAACGTTAGTGATTGTGCAACTGACAGCATTAGATAGACATGTGTTCAAAGGTTTGTTGTAAAATAACATTTAAGTTTTCACCTCTTCGATGCAGGACAGAGAGATACAGAAGATCCTATATACCAACAGCCATCAGGCTTTATAATTCTTTGACATATAATAGATGAGCTGACAGATTATTGAATTTCCCCTGGGGATGAATAAAGTTATTCTTATTCTTTAACATCAGTGTATTTTGCCAGGGCCAATATGTTAAGAAGATCAGTATTGTACCACTGCTTGAAGCACAGTTTCTCTTCTTTTAATACCAATGAGATGTTGGTTTTAAGGGAATGTTAATCATAAAATCAAGACAAAGTTTCTCACAAGTATTAATCCAATGTTAACTTGGACTTTAAGATGGCACGATGTGAGGGTCTCTAACACACTTTGGTTGCTGACTAGTTGGTAATGACATCAATGTTTATCTCAGCTGATAAAACCTTTAAGAAGTTGCATTGTAATAGGTGAGAAATTACAGTGCCTATATTTACGTGACGTGTGGCACTGACTTGATAGATTGATAGAAACAGTTGCGTAGTTGCTATTGTGATATGTATATATTTGTTCAAAGCATAAGGTTGAACTAACCATCCCCAGGGTTAAATATGTAAATGATACAACTAAGGCAGGAAACTGAGTCTGCTTACTCTCGTCAGAGGTGTGAAGGTGAAACATAGAGCTATGTTTTTTTGAAATACAGAATTTGGCTGTGTGTTCAAAGAGGAAAGAGGCCATTCGATCAGGGGATTCACCTGACTGTGGCATAAATCTGGTTTCCTGCTTGTGAAATACAGTGTACAAGTCCTGCTATAACCTTTGTCCTTTCTTGTTTTATTACAAAGGCTACAAGAGGACCCTCCAGCTGGTGTCAGTGGTGCCCCATCTGAAAACAACATTATGGTGTGGAATGCAGTCATATTTGGGTAAGACATTAATGCACATCCATAATGTACACGCATATAGATCTTGTATGTTTGTGTGTGCAGAATGAATGATGAAATGCTTATTTCTCTAACCTCACAGCCCTGAAGGAACTCCATTTGAGGATGGTAAGTATTTTATTCACCCTCACATTAGTTGTTAAACTTGAAATATGTGTACAATGTCGTGTTGATAGAGGGAGTGTTAAGGTTGAGAGAAGTCACTGCTCCAACACACTTTATCTGCCTGGCACCATTACTCACTGCTAAGACACAGTCAGCATTAATGGCTCATAAATATGTTTTTCATGTCTTATCTTTGTCCCAGGTACATTTAAACTCATTGTAGAGTTCACAGAAGAATACCCCAACAAACCCCCCACAGTACGATTTGTGTCAAAGATGTTTCATCCAAATGGTAAGAATACTGTCTCATCTTCTGGCATGTGATGGTGTTGAAATTTGTGTGTAGTGTATAACCATATTTTTTATCCACAGTCTATGCAGATGGAAGTATATGTTTGGACATCCTACAGAATCGTTGGAGTCCCACTTATGATGTGTCCTCTATTCTTACATCTATCCAGGTAGGTTCTGTAACTTCAGTTAAAAATGTTTAAAATAACTGTACCACACTTCATCACATTTGATTATTTTTCCTCTTTTATTCAGAACTAATATACAAACGAAAAAAAACAGTTGCCTCACATGAAATAACACTTCAGTATAAACTAAAATTACTTCAAAAGGAAACTTTATGGTTCCTGAAAACAATTATTTCAAGTTATACAGGTTTCTGTATTCACAGCTTCACTCTTCTCCTCCATGTTTGCCCAAATGAAGTTACCTTGCGAAAGAGCTGGACTCGAGAGCTCATGGAACAATCTAGCCCTGATTTGCCAAATAGTTTGCGCTGAAGAGTTCCTGTGATAGAAACACAAAATAACAGAAATAGAAAAAGTTGTTCAGATGGACAGACTGTTAAACATAAGTTATTCTTAGTATCCTATCTATATTTAATAGTTGTTTCATGTGCTAAAATGTCATTTGCAGCATAATTTTAGAAAATATATTTACAAAATCAGATATTTTGATGATTGCAGAAGTCAGACAACAAGTGGGAAAATTCTGGTGTTTCTGCCTTATTAGTTTTAAGCTTTGTTCAAAATGAATGTACTTGAAACCAAATGACAACATGTGCATGAGTGAAGGCCTGTGACTAAGTATGCTGCTGAAAAAAAATAGGGGAACACTTAAGTAGCACAGTATAACTTTAAGTCAGTTGAACTTCAGAGATATCAATCTGTCCAATCAGAAAGCACAAGTGATTGTGAATCAGTTTCAGCTGCTTTGGTGCAAATGAAAGTGACATCAGGTGGAATGGAGAGGCAAAAGCAAGACAACACCCAAAAAGGGAATGGTTTTACATGTGGTGGTCACAGTTGCTCTCTCCTTACACCTGCAGCCCAGTCAGGTTGCACAGGTAGTCCAGCTCCTCCAGGATGGCACATCCATATGTGTGGTTGCAAGACGGTTTGCTGTCTCCCAGCACGGTCTCAAGAGCCATGACATGAGGAGAGCTGGACAGGGCTGTAGAAGGGCTTAACCCAGCAGCAGGACCGCTATCTGCTTCTTTGTGCGAGGAGGAACAGGAAGAGCACTGCCAGAGCCCCACAGAATGACCTCCAGCAGGTTACTGGTGTGCATGTTTCTGACCAAACTGTTAGAAACAGACTCCATGTGGGTGGCATGAGGGCCCAATGCAGAAATTATCTGGTCTGCCATTAGGGCCCTGTTCTCTCTACAGATAAGAGCAGGTTCACACTGAGCACATGTGACAGACGTGACAGAATCTGGAGACGCCATGGTAAATGTTATGTTGCCTGTAACATCATCCAGCATGACTGGTTTGGCGGTGGGTCAGTGATGGTTATGGGGAGGCATATCCTTGGAGGGTCGCACAGACCTCCATGTCATAGCCAATGTTACCCTGACTGCTGTTAGGTACCAGGATGAAATCCTCAGAGTGACTGTGAGACCTTATGCTGGTGCAGTGGGCCCTGGTTCTTCCTGGTGCAAAACAGTGCCCGGCCTCATGTGGCCAGAGTGTGTAGGCAGTTCCTGGATGAGGAAGGCATTGATGCAATTGATTGGCCCTCTCATTCCCCTGACTGACCTAAATCCATTTGAGCACCTATGGGACATTAAGTACCGCTACAGACCGCCCAGGAGCTCACTGGTGCTCTGATCTAAGTCTGGAAGGAGATCCCCCAGGACACCGTGCGCTGACTCATCAGGAGCATACCCAGACGTCATGGTTGCTGTGATAAAATTCATGCAAGTTGGATCAGATTTTCAGTGATTTTTGAATCCAGCCCTCAGTGGGTTGATGATTTTGGTTTCCATTGATCGTTGTTACGTCATTTTATTCTCAACAAATTATACCGTGTGCATCAGTAAAAATTTTCAACTTGAATAATTCATTCATTAAGATCTGATGTGTGATTTAAGTGTTCCCTTACTTTTCCTGAGCAGTGTAGCTGAATGAGGATGCAGGTCGGTTAATTTCTCACCCTCAGTATTTCTCTTCCCTCCTCCAGTCCCTGCTCGATGAACCAAACCCCAACAGTCCAGCCAACAGTCAGGCAGCTCAGCTGTACCAGGAGAACAAGCGGGAATACGAGAAGCGTGTGTCTGCCATCGTAGAACAAAGCTGGAGAGACAGTTGACCTGACAATCCTGATAGCTGCTCTCTCCATTGTTAAGCTGTGTGTGCTGCAAGTTTTAGTGGAGTACCTCTTAATTTTTGCCCTCCTCCTCCCCCCTTTTTGATTTTAAGCTTTTATGCACTTTACCTTCAATTTCCCATCATAGATTTTTTTTTTGCCCAAGAGGGATTTATTTTTTCTATTCTGTCCCCCTTTTCCAGTCCATCAGGGGAAATGTGCTGAATCTTGCCTTGATGTTTTTTCAGTATGGACTTGTGGGCCATTACCCAAAAATCCTGGTGTGTTCTTACTCGCTGTAATAACTCCCCATGACTAATTATGTTCAGTGTTTCGAAGGGTGTATGAATTAAATCATGGGTCGTCCTCTGTTGTGCTCCTTATCTTTTCTGCCGGTTTGTTTTCACAAGGCAGTTTGTCGGCTCCGATGTAATCATCCTACCCTTCCTTGGAAGAACGAGCAGCCTGAGCATCACGGACTACAACTAAATCAGACATCTTTACACCGTGTCTTTTGCTGTGTTGTGAACTCTGTTACATGCATGACAGAAAGAGTGTATTCATGTTCCTGTTCAGTACTCATGTATATAGGAAACCTGCAACTGAATTTATGTACAGATTTTGCACTGGTTGTCCCCATGTCATTTTTTCAGCACTTGTAAATAAAAAAAAAAGGCGAATCCATTTTTATGTGAGGAGCTTTTTATTGTAATAGCAAATTCAATATTGACCTAAACTAAAAATGACTTTTCTTGCCTTGACAGGAGTTTCTATAAGCTTGTGCTGCATCTCAGTTTTAGTGAGATCGATGTTAAGACGACCCACAGGGCTGCCTGTAAGGTAAACCATGGTTTTGTATCCGTGTAATCACCTTGCCACTAAATAACATGGGAGTTAAATCCTGGCTGTAGCAGCACGGGGAGGTGACCTCTAGTTCTATCGATAAAGCATGACTATCTTTTTAAGGTGAAATATCTGCTGCTGGATTGCATGTGTTTTCACTTACATTTCCACAGTGTTGCATATATTTAATATAAATTTAAATTAACCTTTTGAAACCTGAGAGCAAACTGGTTTGATTACTTTAAAAACACGGGAAGAGGGCGATGAGCAACGATGGAAGAAAGGACACAAATTTGTGAAAAAAGAACATTTGTTAAAAAAAAAAATGGTAAAAACAAGGAAAGGGCGTGGAAATAAAGTGCTTAAATTGTACTTTAAAAAACTAAAAACATACTGTAACATAATTTTAAAAAAGTAATGATAATTTGTTTCTTTTTCCCTAGGTTTTTTTTTTAAATAATTCTTTGCCATTTGTGGGACATTTCTTACAAAGTTGCACATTCTCTTTTTCTCGTGTTTTTGAAAGACATCACACCAGTTTGCTCTCAAAGATCAAGAGTTCAAAGGGTTAAATATGTGTGAAAGGAGTCTGAAAGTACAGGGTTAAACAGGTCAGAATTGTCACCGCTGTTGTATGATTTTAAACTCATGGTAGACAACACTACACTTGGGTTATAGGCAAATTTTTTGTCAGTTTTCAATCTCAGGTGTTCCTCGGCTTATTTAGAGCTAAATTATTATAAAGTCTAGGAGAATGTAGGCTGTCTAAAATCACATTTATTCACTATATAGTGTATGTACACCACTGTATTTGAGTTCTGGGTGTGGGATTTTAATTTGTCCTTATAGGTAAGAATTTTTTGTTCCTATTTGTAGTGGCCACAAAATTAACTTTTTAAAGCTGTTTCAGTGTTGAGTGATGGTGGAGGAAATCCACAGTTGTCATTTTGTGTGAAAATGCCCACTGAAGTGAAGTAAAAGGTTGTATGTGGCTTCAGGAGTCTGAGTTAATTTCCTCACTCTGTTACTAGCCCTCCAGTACTGCTCAATTAACAAGTATTGTCGACTGAAATGCAGACTTTCATGCTAAAAAAAACAGTTTTAAATTGTCCAACTTAAACTGCTGAAGCCTCGTATTAGCTTTTTCATAACTTAAGAAGTCAGAACACAGAGTGAGGACTGGATTCTTTCCACATCTCATGCTTTTAAATTGTTTTAGAAGGGGGTCACTTCACGGCCAGTTGTGGCAGGGGGGAACAGTTATAGCGACCAATAGCCACCAATAACTATTTCGGTGTGAATACGACCATTTGAGTTGTGTATTAAAGGAATATGATCATTTGCACATCTGTTACTCACTTGCTGTTATGTTGAATTCATTAGGAGAACTCTCTTTCTTTGCATGCCTCCACAGTTTAACAAAGAATCTAAAACCAGTTAACATTCTTGATTAATTAAACAACAGCAAAACTATGTCAACCTCTGTTAACATTAGATTTAGAATTTAGAATATATTTCATTCTGCAAATAGAAATAAGAACATCAAGTATTAATCTACAAATTCATGTAAATAAAGTCACAGCCTCTGACAGAAAATGGCAGATACTTGGCTAGTTCAGTGCAAAACATTACAATAAAGTAATTTAACATAACTTAGACGCTGAAGCTACAGTGTATAACACCTACCCTTTAACAGCACATCATATTTAGCAATTAACAAAAAACTGTCTCACAGTAAAATCCACATCTCATTTGTGTATTCCTCAGTGTAACCCTGGTCTCATTTATCCAGCTGTTTAAGTCTTCCTTAACACAGGCCTTTTTGCCAAACCCTTAAATATTTAAAACTTTGCATACAAGTAGTGCACATGGGCAAGTGCATGAGTTTGAACTCCAGGCACACTACTTGTTCATATGCAAAATTTTGTTTTCAATCTTAAGTTTCTTATGAAAACGCATGTTTGCGAAGTACTGAGCGTACAACTGGACAAATGAGACTTGGATTATACTGCACGGGTCGTGTGAGAGTTTGTAAACGGGTGCTCTGATACAGTTTTGCTGTTGTTAAACGCAATCTCCCCATACTTCAGTTTATTACAAATTTTCTGCTTTTTTTTATTCTTGGTTCACTGTGGAGGTATGCGAGAATTTTGCTTTCGCTTTTTATCAAATTCAGTGAAACAGGGTGAGTAATTGATATACAAATGATCCTGTGGGTGATGTATTCCCTCTAATAACTTGTAACTGATTGAGTGACCCCTTTAGCATCTTGTTTTGACGTTGTCATTTGACGCATTATTAGTCTTAAACATAGATTATAGTCGCTTTAAAAAAGTATTGCCCATGGCATGTCATTCCTGCTAACAATAAGTCACATATTGTAAAAAATATCCACTCTGCATTATACCAAAAGCATCAAAATTATCTTCATTTACAAACATTTTATTTGTTAATTGAGCATATATAATGGTGTGGGTGATGTGGCATGCATGATGAAAACAAAGGGGATGTGAGTTACATGCAGGTTGTATTGTACTGTGACCGTTCTTTAAAAATGATCCCAACCAGGAAGCAGCCATCTTGTTTCTCGGCTATGCAGCAGTTACAAAAATAACTATTTACAGCATCCAATACTTTAAACAGTGTCAACAGTAAATGGAAACAAAGACGAGACATAAAATTTTAACGGAGTAGTGTTCATCCGGCCGGACGTAGCTAGCTACCTGTTGTACGCCCTCTCCTTCTTGGCCCTCTCTAAGGCCTTGTCCATGGTCTTCTCATTCTCACCCCGACACTTGGGGCAGTACCACTTGCCCTTGGGCTTATGATGGAGCCCAACGCAGGAGAAATGAAACCACTCGATGGGACATTCATCGTTATCACAGCCGATCATCTCGCCGTAGGACACCTGCTCACACAGGCAGTATGTCGGCTCGTCTGGATCGATGGGCAGGTCTGGAGGTGACACTTCTCTCTCAGACTTTCCTTTTGACCTTTTCTTCTTCTTCGATGACGTCTTGGCCCTCTTTTCCCGGGATGCCCCCACGCCCACTTCCTCGGCGTGATCCAGGCCGCTGTAACTTTCCCGGTTGTCTCCGTTTTTCTGACGCCTTGAGCGCTTCCCTCCGGCTTTGTCTCCGCCGCCTGAGCCCGGGGTAACCTCATCACGTTTCTTGTCATGGTGGCTAGTTTTGCCTGGAGTGACGGTGGCTGATGAGGACGACATCATGGACGCTGCAGTGGTTGACATGGATGTTGCTGTGGGAACGTGGCTCTCTGGGACTTCTTGAGAGGAAAGGAGAAGTTCAGAATGCCAGTCTATCTGTCGCGTTCGGTTCTCAACCAACTCCACCTGAAACAAAAAACATTCATATTTGTGTAACTTTACTTTCAAGAGACAGACACCTATCAGTTTTTAGAGGTGCTGACGTTGAAATGTTTTGTGTTCTGTGCCTATTCTTTTCTGTTGGCTTTGCTGAGGTTTATTGCAGCATTTAGGTAAAAGAGAATGTGTTGTCACAGATGGAGAGATTTCCATCAAGTTCCACTCCAAGACACACTCTGCCTCTCCCTCCTCATATGCCAGGTTGTGGTATAAAGGTCTGCAAGCTCGTTGGGACCCAACACACTGAGTCGATTCAAGCCAGGCTCAAGCAATTTAAAAAGAAAAATAGATTGGGCTCGGTTAACTTCTTTCCTTTCATTGTGCCCATATTCATATTCAGGCCACTGCAGCAGAAACCATAAGAGAAACACTTTGCGCATTTACCTATGAGGCACAGCAGTGTACCTCCACTGATTATTTAAATCTTAAGACATGTCTAGGGGATCTAACGTTCATTCATGTTCTGTGTTCTTCTACACGCACTGTGTGTGTTTTTGCCGCATCAGAAAGAGCAAGCAGCGGGTCTCTCTCAAGCTGTTTGTGGAGTGTGTGCATGTAAATTAACCTTTAGATCAACACACATAACTGTTTAAATAGGCTTTTCACTCTGTATTGTGTTAGCCCATCTGTACATTTATATGCCTGGTTAAGTGGAGCTACAGTTACAGCTCGACTAGGCCATTTATTTGGACTACTGTCTTTGTCCCAGTGTACAAGCACAGGAGGGGAATCGATTAACTGACTGAAGTATGTCCGACTCTGCTATGATAGGTGGTGATATATCCCCTTTTAGCTTGTTAGTCTTAGACATTTCTCCAGTTGACCTTTTACGCCACAGACCAAACAATCAACAAACGAATTAGCTACAGTTAGCTAGCGTCAAACTGGTGCCATGGTGGACAACTTTACAGCTCTGTACATTTTGTCCATCCAAAAATAGACAGCTCTGGATGTATATTTTGCCACGTTGTTACCGGCTTTTCTGTTATGTCATTTAATGCTTTCGACTTCCGGGTCAAAGCCTGGGGTGGACACTGGAGCATACGCAGTGCCTTGGCCAGTTTGGGTCTGATTGACTGTATACATGCTGGAGTAACTTGACTCCCAATTGCATTATCTGGGTGTCTTAGTCTGACTTTGAGAAATTCCATTTAGTACAATTTCAGTTGGACTAACATATTTACGTGTTTTAAAGTCCGGTTTTAGTTGGTCTAACACAATAAATCGATTTTCTTGAATGTCATGTAAACGTACTGCATCACTATCCTTAGCCTTTTTTCCTGTACATGTTGTTAAGCTGAGCCCAGGGCTATATGCTTCACACTGCACCTCTCCTAGGCCATGGTTAAATGTCAGTAGGGGCACAGAACTCATCATAACACTCTAAAACTGTAATGTTTACTTAGCCCTGTGTCACAATTTCAACTTTTAGCCCTAGGTTAAGTAAATTTTAAGGAGATAACCCTGATCTGCAACAGCGCCAGCAAGCCTTGGGCAAGAGTCAGGGTTAGCCCGATTGTAATGTGTCAGGATTGTGCGAGGGTCCACAGACAGAGGGATGTCCTATGTTATAAAGCCCCCTGAGGCAAATTGTCATTTGTCATATTGGGCTTTACAAATTATTATTGCTATAGCCCTTTAAAGGAATGCGTTGTGATTGCTATAATGAACAATGACTTCACCTGACTAATCTTCAGACATTTAGCTGCCTTTGGGTATGAAATGTGCTATATACATAAATTTGCCTTGCCTAGTGTGAAATATTTCTTAGCCTGTAGCTACCAGCTGTGAAAAGCACAACAAACTGTTGGTGGTTAACTGTTGGCATCCCTAGACTTAGAAGAATAAGGTGGTAACCTATAATATGATGTTCCTTGGATGAATCAGGATACAAACTTAAATGGGAAATATCTGTTTTATGCATATTATTCTTGATTTGCTTAATTTAAAATTTAAATTAAATTAAAAAATAAATTAATTTTAAAGACAGAAAAGAAAAGGGTTCACCACTTCTCTAAGATTTAAAAATAAAGGAGAATGTTTATATTTAGATAATTATCCAAAATATCCATTGTACACATCTGTTACATAAGAGATGTATATGTCAAAGGGTAAAGTTTTTAGATATGGTGTCATGTTTCTGGTAACCCTGATGTGTGACTATAATAAGAAGACTCAGCATTTACTGCTGGAGTTCTGCCAGTGTTTAAAGAAGTTTCTCCTGAACAGATTTCAGTGAAATTCAAATGTTTACAAAATGGAGGATCTGATACAAAAGACCTTTTAGCAGGTCTTTCTAACCTTTTTTCTTTTTATTTACTTGGGGTTGATCTTCTGTGCACATACGTTCCAGGAAAGCACTTATCTGTACTCGCACAGTTGCACACATTCAGACCTGGGAGTCTGCCAATGCGCAGCTCCACTGGAGCAGCTGTAGGGCTCTCTTAACGTACCATTTGACCGGCAATCTGGATCTTCTCATCTCCGAGCTCTTGACTGCGAATCAGCGCTCTCTGAATGGATAACTGAAGCTTTCGCCTCTGAAGTGAGTCAGATTCCCGGCGATACCGCTCGTAAGCATCATCAAGCTCCTTCAGAACATCTGCCAGAGAAAAAAGTCGAGGGGGGAACATTCAAGTGGGAATAAGAATAATGAAACTCAAAACGTTCTCAGAGGTACACAAAAGAAATGTTAACTTTCAGCGCATTACTTGTCATATTGAATTATTCTCTTGATTGCATTATGTGATGTGAAAGGTACTTTGTGAAAGGTGTAGTTGTTCAGTGTGGATATGCCAGTTACTATGCACTGAATACAGGTTCAATTATCACTACTACATTAAAGATTTTGTGAAGTTCAGAAAGGTTAGCCAATGTATATCAGGAGACCAATCTGTCAGTTTAGTCTACGGTCAACGAACATCAAAGGTGCATCCTGTGTGTTGATCAAGCATGCCACGTGGATAAGACAGGAGGTGAGACAGACTACTTTGGGGGATGGTAATGAGACTGCTGAGAGAGCAAAGTGGTTGCTGAGGGGAGAAGAGCTGGTGGGTTTAGACATGCAGCTACAATTTAGTGTGTAATTGTACAGTAGCTACATGTCTACAATGTACTATGTAATCTGATAAGTGTTCAGTTGGTACACTTGCTAAGTACCTGCTAATTTACTGGGTTTAGTAAGAAAAAAAACACGCATTTACAATCTTGATATCAAAAAAGTTGTGATGCTGCGTAAAGCGTACATTAAAACACCATGCAATGATTTGCATATAATTTTCAGCACACAGAGGGGAGAACAGTTGTTCAACACATCATTTTTGTTTGTTAAACATAATTCCACTGCAGCTATTCACATTAAATTTAGACCAGACATTGGTATTAACTAAATAAAAAAACTATATTGATAAAGAAACTAACATTTCAATTCATAAAAACTATCTGCAATCAAGTGAAATGTCACAGGAAAAGGTATTGAATATGCTAATATGAAGTTATTTGGAGAAGCCTTTGTTTGCAATGCCAGCTTCAAGACACTAGCTTATCTTTCACAGTGTTCAGATGGGATTTGGGCCCATTCTTACACAGATAGTCTTTAAATCTTACTAGATTTTGGGGAGGCCCATTTGTAAATCTTGAGAGAGAAACTTCACTTTCAGAACTTCAACAATCAGTGTCCTCAGTTCCCAAATACTTACTGAGTGTTGTTAGCAGAAAAGGTGATGTAACATAGTGGCAGACACGCCCCTGTCCAATTTTTTTTAATGTGTTGCAGGTATAAAATTCAGAATTAGAGTATAAAATAATAACAAATAATATACTGTATCAGTCTGAACATTAAATAGCTTGTCTTTGTACTGTGTTCAATAAATGTTGTTTGAAAAGGATTTACATATCATTGCATTCTGTTTTATTCATGTTTTACACAGCATTCCAACTTTTTGGAATTGAGGTTGTATAACATAAGTTTACTCTCAATGTGTTGTGCATGCTCATCTGTAATGTACAATAGCACAGATTATTACTGCTGGCTCAACCTGATCACTGCACACTCTCTTTACTACTCTCGAATTATTTTGCAAAATGTGGAAAGTGTACCAAACACACACTGCCAGCATTTTTTCTATGATAAGTACCCGATTACATAGTGCTTTCAAAATAAGTATTCCCTGTTATTCCCAAGAAGTAACAGCTACGTTTACATTTTTATGCTTACAGTGTTTGATGATTTTTGTAAATCACTCATCAAAACTCATCTTTTCAAAACGACTTAATGTGTGAATGATGTTGTGTGTATTTTACTGTATGCTACTTTATGATCATTTTTAACTGATGCAAAGTGTCTTTTTGTACCATGAAAAGCGCTCTATAAATAAAATGTAATATCATTACTATTAAACCATTTACTACAAGGTTTTGATTAGAAAGAGATTTATGTCTTGCACATCGGTGTCCACACTGTCTCGCTTCTTTACCTTGATACTTGGCATCGATCTCCTTCATGAGGGACACGCTCCTCTGCAAGTCAAAAGGCAGTGACTCCACCAGGTCCAAATACTCCTCAACATAATTCACAACAACGTGGCTCGGGTCGCCATTGGCCGGGTTCAACATCGCGGGTCCCTCTGCACCCCAGCTACACCTGCACCTGTTAACAACAAATGTTTTGAATTTGATTAGCACACAAGATGTGATTAAAAACAAGTATATAAAAATAAACATGGCAGGGATTGTACAGAAGAGGTAAGAAATCCCTCTAGAATTTCAAATCTAGTCTATTACAAATAATATGTCTCTCTTAAACATGAGAATATAACAGACAAAACAAGAAGATATAATAATCATAAATGAAACAGACACATACACATCAATATAACTTATATATTAACTATGACAAATGAGAGTAATGATGGACAGATGGTCCTCTGTATTTCAAAGCATATTGTCCAAGTGTTGTGAAACAATAGGGAAGATAAATATCCTCTGCTTGTCATATTGGATATGAACAGCCATCAGAGTTCATGAAGAGAAAGTTGTGATATACATCTGGTAAGCTGTGCTTATATATATACATAAAAAATATCTGTTTGACAAATGTTAAAATTAAAAATTGACAGCAGATTAAATGTCTTGAACAGAGGAGCTGATGATTCCCAACGATTTGCTGCAGTTGGCAGTCAAATTTCTTTAAGATTGAAGTATTTTTCGCAGGGAAGGAGGATATGTACTGGCCCAAAAGATGTGACAGTATGATATGCATGGATATATTAAACTATATAAGAGTGTTAGCAGACATAAATGATTCACTATCAAGTTAAGTTCTAATGATGCCAAATGGCTTCATAGTTTTTTTTAACACACCAACTCAATGTGGTCTTTCTAGGCCAGCTGTTCATCTACTAATACACCTAAGAATTTTGCATAGATAACCTGATTTCAATATTACTGATTAATAGTTAAGCATCTTCCTTTGTATAACTTTTATTTCTGAAGATTGTAAAATTGACATTTTGAGAAAGTGTGTTTATTCTTAACAATAAATCATTAATAAAATGGGTGTTGTTGCTGCACACGTTTAAATACTTTATTTTTTAGCAACTCTCTAATATAAATATCATTGTGCATTTTGTTTCCTGTACGAATTATCTGAAGTCAGTCCGGAAATACAAACTATAATGGTCAAGATGTGAAACGGGGAGGGGGCAGCTGATCTGGAGTCAGCCATCCTGAAAATTGCTACGTGTACTAAGACTCTGCCAACAGAGAGCTGACTAGTTTGAGCCGAATAACACAGTTTAACCACATTACTAAGAAATACCAGGTGATTTCAGATACAAAACATAGCAGTTAGTTGAAGTTGTGCACCTCAGGGTGTCCTTTTCCGCACCAATGGAGAGGATAACAAAGCTCAACAGTAGCACAACACTGTTAGCTAGGTAGCTAACGTTACATTTCCAGGCTAACTAACGTAAACCAAGTAATAAACCGACATATTAATGTGGAATTAACCTCAAACATGTCCATTGCTGAGCTTGAAAATCTTCAGCATCAGCAGCAGAGTTTCAGTGTCTAATTTTAGTCGTGATAATTAACGTAAACTACAATTAACGTACCCTGCTACGCCAGATAACCTTTACGAACTTTATCCTCCTTGCAAGTTTGAGACTGGCTTGCCAACTCCAAGAAATGTACACAACTAAATATCATTTACCAGTGACGTTAGGTGGATTTAATAGATTTTAATCGCTGGCTGACAGCGCTGAAAGTTTAAGCAAACGATGCCCTAATGTGTCAAACACAAAGATTAACCGACGCTAACAGCACTTCATTCAACAACGTAAACAACCACAGAGCACTTTAAGCAATAAGCTAATTTTACGACGACAAACCACATAAGTTAGCGTCATAAAAATATCAATAGCAACCATTCCGACATTTTAAGCGGTCGTATTTCTCTCATGTTTGCTCAGTGTAACCGTTAGCCAAATTAGCCTATGCTAGCTTCCAACGCATAACATTACTAAACGAGTCACGACAGTTATCGCCGCAAACATTCAACAAAGCTTTATTAAACTTATCTAGTTAGCAGCTAGACGGCTAGCAGGTGAACTTACCTGAGAGGATATTAGTAGTTTTCTGAAGCTAACACTCCGTGATGCTGCTCTCGCTGTTATTGCTAATGCTAGGTCGTGTAGAGTGGACCACTGTAGTATCCTGTTAGCCCAGCGGCGGCTAACGTTAGCTGTTGGATAAAGTGCCGGAACAAATGTTTTAGCAGTGCGCATGCGCGAAGCGGCTATAGCAACCACTGATACAAGTCAAACAACCCAATAACATATACTTCCGCTTAGCTTTCAGCATTATATTCAGGCTCTTTTTTATCATTACTGTATATATTCCCGCTCGGATACACAGCAGACACCAGCAGCTCCCTTGCTTTGTACAGTATCTTTCTTTGTGCATTAAATATAACCGTGGTATGTTTCCATGCTCCAACTCAAACATTGTCCAATACTGCCCCCTCGAGGCAATAAAGGCACACTGCAGTGGAAAAAGTCACACAAAATCTTATTTATTATTTATTTCAAAATCCAAACAGATTTCTGGTTTCCTGTGGCCCCATTTATGTCATCATCTCAGTCTCTTTGGTGGGCTGTGAAAAATTTAGCCACCTCAGCATGTTGAATGCATTCATCATAATACACAGGAGATGGAAGACTGTTTGTAGGTATTCCTAGTGTTTATTCAATACACAAACAGGTCAGTGTATTTTTTTGCACCAGATTTTTAGGGGCCGTGCTTGCAAGGAAAGTCCACACCCCTCTAATCTCGATCCAAAGTCAACTTGATGACAACATTTTTCCACCAGCCCTCCCACGGGCTATACTTGCAGCTTTTAAGAATGCAAAATCGAGTATTTATGTATAGATTTTAAAACAACAATTTTGATTTCTGTTGGCAGTGTTTTTAGCTTTCAAATAGCTTTTTGAAGGCCGAGCCAATCTCCTGGATCATGTCTGATGTGGTGGTGGACCTGCCGTGCCGCTGGAATGCTTGACTGTTGCACTGTCTTGTGAGAGAACAGGCCCCGAATGCTGCAACCACTGATGGATTTACACTGGAGGACGACAACAATGATGTATTAGGAAACACAGAGACACAGATATACTTGACATGTATTTATTTGTACAATTCTACACTTTAAAAGACCATACTGGTGGTTTAATCCCTGATTGATTCCCAACTGCACAATCATGGAAGAGAAACAACACATTGTTTTGATGCGTAGTTTCTTGTTTTTCAGTTTATCTACAAAATGACAGAAAATCACACAGTCCAAAACCTTGATATATTAATTTCATTGTCATATAAGACAAAGAAAAGCAGTAAAGATTCAGCTTCCCCAACTAAAGCTAAAAAGTGAACCAACAGAAAAGGGACTCAGTTGTGTTCTCTTTCTCAACAACTTCAGCTCTGATGGGGCTGCAGTCCTCTTCCTGTTCACACTATAGCCTATATATAACATATATAACATATACAGTACAGGCCAAAAGTTTGGACGCACCTTCTCATTCAATGCGTTTTCTTTATTTTCATGACTATTTACATTGTAGATTCTCACTGAAGGCATCAAAACTATGAATGAACACGTGGAGTTATGTACTTAACAAAAAAAGGTGAAATAACTGAAAACATGTTTTATATTCTAGTTTCTTCAAAATAGCCACCCTTTGCTCTGATTACTGCTTTGCACACTCTTGGCATTCTCTCCATGAGCTTCAAGAGGTAGTCACCTGAAATGGTTTTCCAACAGTCTTGAAGGAGTTCCCAGAGGTGTTTAGCACTTGTTGGCCCCTTTGCCTTCACTCTGCGGTCCAGCTCACCCCAAACCATCTCGATTGGGTTCAGGTCCGGTGACTGTGGAGGCCAGGTCATCTGCCGCAGCACTCCATCACTCTCCTTCTTGGTCAAATAGCCCTTACACAGCCTGGAGGTGTGTTTGGGGTCATTGTCCTGTTGAAAAATAAATGATCGTCCAACTAAACGCAAACCGGATGGAATGGCATGTCGCTGCAGGATGCTGTGGTAGCCATGCTGGTTCAGTGTGCCTTCAATTTTGAATAAATCCCCAACAGTGTCACCAGCAAAACACCCCCACACCATCACACCTCCTCCTCCATGCTTCACAGTGGGAACCAGGCATGTGGAATCCATCCGTTCACCTTTTCTGCGTCTCACAAAGACACGGCGGTTGGAACCAAAGATCTCAAATTTGGACTCATCAGACCAAAGCACAGATTTCCACTGGTCTAATGTCCATTCCTTGTGTTTCTTGGCCCAAACAAATCTCTTCTGCTTGTTGCCTCTCCTTAGCAGTGGTTTCCTAGCAGCTATTTGACCATGAAGGCCTGATTGGCGCAGTCTCCTCTTAACAGTTGTTCTAGAGATGGGTCTGCTGCTAGAACTCTGTGTGGCATTCATCTGGTCTCTGATCTGAGCTGCTGTTAACTTGCGATTTCTGAGGCTGGTGACTCGGATGAACTTATCCTCAGAAGCAGAGGTGACTCTTGGTCTTCCTTTCCTGGGTCGGTCCTCATGTGTGCCAGTTTCGTTGTAGCGCTTGATGGTTTTTGCGACTCCACTTGGGGACACATTTAAAGTTTTTGCAATTTTCCGGACTGACTGACCTTCATTTCTTAAAGTAATGATGACCACTCGTTTTTCTTTAGTTAGCTGATTGGTTCTTGCCATAATATGAATTTTAACAGTTGTCCAATAGGGCTGTCGACTGTGTATTAACCTGACTTCTGCACAACACAACTGATGGTCCCAACCCCATTGATAAAGCAAGAAATTCCACTAATTAACCCTGATAAGGCACACCTGTGAAGTGGAAACCATTTCAGGTGACTACCTCTTGAAGCTCATGGAGAGAATGCCAAGAGTGTGCAAAGCAGTAATCAAAGCAAAGGGTGGCTATTTTGAAGAAACTAGAATATAAAACATGTTTTCAGTTATTTCACCTTTTTTTGTTAAGTACATAACTCCACATGTGTTCATTCATAGTTTTGATGCCTTCAGTGAGAATCTACAATGTAAATAGTCATGAAAATAAAGAAAACGCATTGAATGAGAAGGTGCGTCCAAACTTTTGGCCTGTACTGTATGACATAGTTCATTTTTTTTGTACTTTGTCGTGGCACTGCAGAGTGGTTATGAGGCCCCTCACTTAAGGATGAACTTAAAATTGGAGGAAAACCTTAGTGTTTCTGTGCTGTAGACTGTTGCCAATTGATGTGTTTTACATTCCACATTTGGAGACGTGCAGCATCTTCCCTGAACCAAACTACTCCTCGTCCTGCTTTGTTTCAAGCATTACAGGCCAGTGTGGTTCTGTCTGTTTCTTCAAGCGTCCCAGTACAATAGTGTTTGCATTGCATTGTTTGCACATTAGATACTACATATCATAGTGCACTGAGATTTGTTATAAAATGTTAAGCCCTCACTCGTCACTGTGCGCTTTATTCCAGGGCTGGTTGGCCATCTGTGACCTTTTATAGGCTCTATCACTGGTGTTTATTCATTTATTTTTACATATATTCATTTCATTCTTTCATTTTTTATCAGAGACCTGACTGTAGCTGTAGTCTGAGATCTCAAGTCTTAGTTTTGTTTTCTGTTCCTGGTGCACAGACTGAGCTGGTAAAGACATTCTAAATATAGTGTACACTTAAACTGATAGATTTTTTTTGGTGGGCCTTTTTTAGGTGCCTTAAAACTAGCTACCTGAGGCAGGCTCTGCTCAAGGCTGTTTGATTTCATGTACATGACGTGAGGATTTTCTACACCGAGGTTACTGTAAATAACCATTAAGATTCAGTCTATACTCTATGACATTACAAATTACAGTTTCAGCGCTATAGTTTTTGGATTTATTAGAGAGTAGTTTGTTCACTAATATTTATAGACTTTCTTGGACCACAGGATTGACATATGAATTTAGAAAATGTGTGTAGTTTTCCTTTAAAACTACAGAATGTTTTGGAATAGTCTACATAATGTAACGTTTATGCACTTTGCATGTTTTGTGCTTAAACATTAAAACACATTTGTATGGTCCTTTAAATGTGCCATGCACTACTCTTAAAACACACTGCACAAACAGCTGATCATGTCTTCACCTTCTGACTGTTCCTGCTGCAGAGGCAGCATGCGCCCAATGTGCTAAAACTCCCATAGATCCCGACAGAAGATCCCCCTGTCCACCACATCTTCTCCCACTGCCCTCGACACTGCATGAGACCACTGCGAAGAAGAAATCAAAAGAAGAAGAGCTCTGAAGTTTCTCCAAAGTCACATCTGAGGAGTGATTTACACGAGTGGCAAGGTGAAAGATCATCTGGAAAAGATAAATGTTTATGGGATTGACACTAACCCTTACTGCCATCTGTGATGAGATCATGCTCTCCTTTAAGCACCAAAGTGAGGTTGCCCATGGCTACGCTGAGTTGCATGACACTGCGTTGATGATCAGTGCTGTCCATGGGCTCATGGTGCTGAGACAGTCAACACACACATACATTAACACACACATGATTATATGCTGTCAATTGCTGATTGAATCAACGATGCAGAAAGACCCACCAGAGCCTCATACAGCCGAGTGAACTCCATGATGTTAGGTGTGAGGATGCCCTTCTGGTACCCTTGAATAACAGATGGTTGCTGTGTAACTAGCCATAATCCGTCCTGTTGAAAACAAACAAATGAGACACACACACAAACATACACACGCACACACTCAGTGATTGTGTATAGCTTTGCAAATAAGATCCCATCTGTTCAACAGCTGGAACTTGAGACTTACTGCATCAATGACTATAGGGATATCTCGTGCTTTAGACTTCTCTATCACCTCCTAAAAGACAAGAAAATGTGTTACTTACAGCGAAGGCAAATTAAACATTATACTTGAGTAATGTTTGTCCAACAAGCACACTGTAATGTTCTCTTAAGGCAGCACTAAACGGCATCTTTACATGCACTCTTTCATCAGTCTAATCAAAGCGGGCAACAATTCTAAGCATCAGTTCACATGAGCTAGCATCAGATCATTCTCTCATTACTTTGACATTCTCACATGCTTACAGGCCATGTTTTCTGGGAAATTAAACTCACCAGTTATCAGTTATCAGTCACAGAAAGCCAAACACAAGGAGTTGTTTTGTGCAGCTTGACTTTATCACTGCCTTCTATCTAACTGTTAAAGACATGAGTTTTGTGGTCATGCACAAGCAGCTGGTCTCGGACACTGTTGTGAGTGAAGGGAGAG